TTTGCTTATGCTTATATATAGACCAATCAATTTCCTTATGCTTATGCGTTATGCTTTATGTAAAAGCTTGTGCTCTCGGCTTAAGGCTGCAGTCCCATGGACTCATTGAGTAAAAAGAAACAGGAGGGAGCGTTTGGACGTAAAAATGCGGACGGAAGAGACTATATAAAGTGGTCGCTCAAGATGGCCGCTCAAGGGCGCCAATATTGAATGACTTGTTATGTTTAATTAGGAAATAATGTACAATTAAAAGAAAATAACTATAATATGCAACAATAATACCAAATTTTAATGGCGTTTTTCATTGGGATTGCACTTGTGCAGTATTTCCATAAGAGCAATGTTAAAATTTAAAATCTAAATTTATATTAAATCCTTCGTCCTTACAAAAATTTATCCATGCATTTCTTTGATCCGGATTTTTCAGAAACCTGTTTGCGAGTGAAAATTATTTAGTAATTATTGTGAATCTACAATTTCATAATACTATACATATGATTATAATCTCCAAAATAAAAATCTCATTATTGTTGATAATACTAACCGATGAAACGTTATTCCATGATTTCGAGCTGCTGCTGTTATGCCACAAGCTCTACAGTATACCATTTTGATCGTTTATTTCCATACACTGTTGCATAAAAGACTATACACTGCATATTAATGCGTACGGCGTACGGTATGCCGCTTGCCGCTATGTTCGAGCATTCCCTCTCACTTTCAAAAAGTGGTCGCTCAAGATGGCTGCCATGACGTACATCCGTCCGCGGATTTACCTAGTCCTGGCTAGTATATGCTCTCTCCTGTTTCTTTTTACTCAATGTTGTGCACCGTCCCTCTATTCCTTAGTCCGTGGTATGCGTATTTCTATAGTATTTACACTATTATTCGATTATAAAATAATGACATTTTGATGTGCAGATAAAAAATTTAAAAAAGTAATTTCATAGAAGAAAACTTTGCTATCATAAAATTGTCATAATAATTCTTTTGTAAATTCGAAATTCTTTGCAATATTTTGCAAAGTAATACAGAATTTAGCTAAAAGAAAATCAAAGAAAGCTGATTCGGAGATTTAAATCTTTTTCGTGCGTTTTTTGAGGTTAGTGTAGTTCCAGAGATTCCATTATAGTGTAGTTCCAGAGATTCCATTATAGTGTAGTTCCAGAGATTCCATTAAAGTTAGTTAGCTAGTTATGATGGAAATCTCCTTTGCCAACTTGTAGCAATTTTAGGGTATATCCAGATAAGATTGAAATTTGACCAATCGAAACAAAAAGAGCCAAAAGTTCTTTGTCCTGATTGGTCAAATTTCAATCTTTAATGTGTAGTCTGATACGAGCATAATAAAAAAGTGCTGTGAAAGTCGTGTTTCTTAGTTGATTTAAGTTGTTCAAGTTTGTTGAAGACTACACCTTATTACGGTTTTGATTCTAATTTTGATAATATTTTTCAATAGTTGTGAACAATTTGCGTGATTAACGATGGCAGACCCTAAATATGCTGATTTACCAGGAATTGTAAGTTTATCATATATTACATACTTGTCGCATTTTTATATGTCATATTGTGAGCAAATACAATTCTGAGTTATACTAATAATAAATATTGCAGGCGTACGATCAACTTGACGTTTACGAGACAAGCGATTTGCCTGAATCAGAGCAAATGCGAATGTATTGTGAGGTGAGATACATTTGCATTGCACATAACATTTGATATGCTAATTGGTAACTGATTTATTTAGGAAGAACCTGACAGCACTTGTGTGGAACAGTTACATATCAGTGCTAAAGAAGCATTTAACAAATTTAAAGGCAAACAAATTGTTGGAAAACCTGTTGATTTCTCAGATCGTGTGTCCAACAGGCCAAGAACAGGATACAAGTAAGTTCTTTTAATTTAATAAAATCTAATATGTAGAACCAATATATTATACAAATATTTTTAGATTTGGAGATTGGGAACTTGTCGGTGAAGGTGAGAAAGAAACTCCTCTCCAAAAGTATCAGCGACTGCAATGTGAGATTAAGGAATTATATGAAGAAGTGAATGAATTAAAGGTATATTTTTATATTGCCAATTAGCTATGCTACAATTATTCTGTAGTTTTAAATAATATTAATATATATGTATTAATAATATATGTAGGAAAAATCTAAAGATGAGCAAGAAATCAAATCTGCAAGTGAGATTATTTCTCAAGCACAGCAGATAGAAAAGCAATTGATTGCTCTAAAACTGGAAGAATGTTTAGGACCTGATGTTGTTGCGAGTTTATCAGATCCACAAGGCACTACTCTTAAGTATGACATTTAAAGATTATATTTTTATACATAGATATGCCTTCTTAAATACAGAATATTGTATTAATGTTCCAGGCAATTGATGTCACAGATAGAATTGTTTAAGCAGACCAGTGTACCTTCATCCAAGATTGCAGAGAAGAAAACGAGTGAATCAGTTGAACCTGGTGTCCTCAAGTATCAGATGATGTATTTCCCAGAAAAGGCAAGAATGCAGGAAGCAGCTAGGATTGCACAGTTGGAACAAAGACTCTGTTGTCTGGAGAATCTCATAGGAACAAGTAATGATAAACTTTCTAAATTCTCACAGGTAAGAGCTTACAATTTCTCATGCGTATGTGTTATAAATAGATTTATGAATTGTTTTTTCTACAGAACCTTAAATGTCAAGGAATAATGGAGGCTGTGCAACAATTAGAGGCAAAATCTGCACTATTGGACGTCAATCAACTAGACACCATTGAAACAAGATTAGGCACCTTGATTTACCGAATGGATAGCATTGCGCAGAAAAAAGCAGCAGCGGAACAAGATTCTGAGCAAGAACAAAAAGTAATATATCATCCGAATATCAAAATCAATATACTATGATATCAATCAATTACGATATCGCATCCGACATAATAAATCTTGTTCTTTCTCACAGATCTCGGAGATGTATGAAATAATGAAGAAAACTGACGCTATATCGCAAATCCTACCGCAAACTGTAGAAAGGCTATTAGCATTGAGTGATATTCATCAACAAGGTAAAATTATTTAATGAATATACATGTAAAAAATAGTTTCCTGACAAAATACATTACATTTTTAGCTGCTGACTTCAGTAAATCTTTAATGAGATTAGAAGAACTGCAAGCAGAAATCTCATCGGGATTAGAAGGCAACAAGTCTCTGCTGAAGGGAGTGCAAGAAAACTTCGCTTCTAACATGGAAATTATAAAGAGTAATGTAGCATTACTCGACGAGCGTATTAAAAAACTTAAGAAGTGATTAAATTAAAACTATTGAGTATAATACACGAAAGCAATGCTAGATTAATTCTATTTTCTTAAATTATTTCATTCCACGATGAAATATCATTTATATCATGTTAAGTTATTGTTTATTTAACATAATTTATAAATTCTTTATTTGCTTTACACTTAATTATTATTTCACCATTGTTAATTCTTGAATATTTTGCAAATGCGGTATTTTGATTTTTATAATTGCTAAGAATAATAAGAGCCTATGAAAGTCGTTTTATGCACAAATGAGAAATAAAGCCACATATGTAAAGCATGCGAATTAAATAAAGCTGAAAGTTTTCAGTAAAAAAAATTGTAAGTTTTATTGAACACTTCATATATGATATAGATATAGTTAACCTATGCAGCTATGAAGTAAAAACAAGTTAGCTAAATTAATTGAGATAAAAATGCTAGTCAAAAATATAAAAATTTGCCTTATTTTTTACATAGGATATAGTGAAAAAAATTGTATTCATTCTTATATCTGTATATCAGACTTTTTATTTAGAAACAATTAGAATCTTAACTTCTGGAAAAACCATTTGTTTTTACCATTTTTATACCTGAAAGTAATTGACAAAATTAGATATTGTTAATTATAAACACTATGGATAAATTTTGCAATAACAGCAGAATATCAAATTAGATACCTCTCCTCAAATTTGACGCGCGTCTGGAAACGAACCTTCTTGCGCTTCATTGGGTCTTTGAGATCTTTAGGGGCTATTTTGTCCAATTGTAAATCTACCGTGTATCTCGTTGGCATTAAATGATTGTAATTTAGAATCTGCAATATTTTACGAATAAAAAATTACAAGATATAATTACAAATAGATATAAATAATAAAGATTATGTTAAGTCTACTTTAAACAATTTACAATTTTTAATAGAATTAAGATTTAACAAAGATTTTACAAAAAAAAGATAAGGAATTTTACCTTAACAAAAGGTTTGATCTTGGAACGTTTATGCAACTTTCCCTTCCCCATCCTTTTGTGGACTTTGCGTGGATACCGATCAATGCCTGCCACCAAAGCATGTCCATATTGTTTTTCTGTGGTTCCATCGTCATAGTTGCGCATCACGATGGCTTTTCTCCCCGCGTACCGACCACTAAGGATCAGCACGACTTTCCCATTTTTCATAATCTTCACCATCTTGGTGATGTATACTGAAAGAACAAAAAACATAAAGTCACAGAAAGTTATAAATCAATGTCTTAATCATTTTCTCTATGCAATTGAAAAAGTCGGTATATTTTTCTTTCTAAAACAAATCATATTAAAATATCTATGCTGGCAACACGTAAATATTTTGGAACACAATGTGTCATAACCTCTCATAATACGTGGAAAAAGAGAATAAATTTGTGTAAAAAAAACAATAGAAGACGTTATATCACTGATACACGTCGCAAGAAATAACGTAAATGCAAAAGTCAACGACAAATGAATGATTGATTACTGTCGAATGTAGCGTGAGTTTGACTGAGGTTAACCGTGATTATTGGGCAGCAAATATTTTCGAAATACGCGAAGAATCAAATATCAACGTACGAATAGGAATCGCGTTTGTACACTAATTACAAAGTAACGCGAATGCAACGAAAAAAACTTTCTAAACTACTGATGTTGACGGATTATTCTATGCAGTGAGTACTTTTACGCACCTCACGGTTTCTCGTACCGGATAAAAGGAAGTTAACCTTATTTTTGGTCGACTGGTTATAAATCCGCTAGATGGTAGATGTCGCGTTGTTGAACATCCGGTAGCTTTACTGCGCAGAAGTCAATGCACTTCAAAACCGCCAAAATCTACCGCAAATCTACTATGGCGATTGTTTTTTCTTTTCATGATTTAATTAGTTTTAACAAAGATTTAAATCAAAGAAGCAGATATGAAAACGCAGAACTTATTTCATAATAAGGTAATTATATTTAGTTTCGAAATATCTAGTAGACAATGCGTTCTCAACATGTGATAAATTTTAATAAATTCTTTTATTGTGTCTCAATGTTGAAACATCACAATTGAACCAAACTTCGAGGAAGTACGACTTCGAGATTAAAAATATGTAAATTTTAATATAAATTCGAAACTTTTCGAATTCATATGGCCAAAGGTGGTATATGAAGGGTTTTAACGCCTATTTAACGTCAAATGATAGAGTTATTGAATATGTTTAAAAAATGATATATTTGGAGGTTATACTCTCTTAACATTAAACAATTCGAGTAAGGAGTTTATACATTTAGATATAATATATTATACATAACAGCAAATTAATTATAATTCTATTTTAATTCTACCATTGATGACAATGACGATATCATTAATTTCTTCTACTATTAATAACGATGTATGCATTATGTATGTCTTTTTTTTGTTTTCCTCATTAAAAGTAAATAACAGGTCAAATACGTTAAAAGAGCAGATTTATATTACGCTCTTTATGAACATGACGCAAACTCATACACCTTAATTATACACTTTAATTATACACCTTATTAGATGATCTTATATATATGCATGATGGAAACTGCTCTATCCGTGCATCTTTTTTATTGGGAGAAGTTGTGCAAGGATTAACTTGATTGCGAAGATTTATCAACTTGTGATCTTTGTAAACATCGAGTTACTCTTGAAGTGAATAAACACACATCAATCTTAATCATGTGACAAACTTTCAGCAAGAAACTTTAAGTATAATTGTAAGTAATCTTTTAGAAATATCTGTTGAGAAATGTGAAGATTTATTAATTGAGCTTTTGATGTAGGCGTCAGTTTACTTTTAAAAAGCAAACATGTATCAATCTTATTTGCCCAAAAGGCATCTAAAACTAATTAAATTTTCAGAAAAATAATAAAAATTTGTTGTATGATTTTTTAGATTTAAATTATAAAATGTAGAGTAAGAGTAAACAAATACAGTAAATCAGAAGTGCAATTCCGCAAAACATTGCACAGCACGGAATATTATGGCTGTGTTGCAGATTTTATAGATACCAATGATATGTATTTTGTATATCAAAATTCTCTCTTTATCAACAGTTGTAGAAAATATATTGCTATTGTATTTTTTCAGAAAAACGTCAATTGCTTCAGGTTCCAACTGTACAAATTTAGATGATAAATTCCTCGATTTTACGATCAGCAAGGATAAGTTTACCGAGATCACAAATAAAAGTTAAAGAAAAAAGTACAAAAGTGAGTGTGAACTAAAAGTAAGGTATATACACACATACAGGGTGATTCAAAACCTGATGTCCTTGAAATTTTGCAAAAGGAAAAATCTTAGAAATTACTGAAGAATGTGAGCATTTCAAGGACATCAGATTGTTTTGAATCACTTTACATGTAAGATCATTTATTAAGGCGTAAAATTTAACGTGCAAGAAAAAGTAATATCTATTTTTTCTTCTTTTTGAATCTCCTTGAATGGTTATGCGATATTTTTCTGAATGCGAAGAAAGGATTTTTACGATAATTTATCGTTGCTGTTCGTTATAGCGTTTCTAATTAATGGTGCCTCTCTCTTTTTCTCGGCTTCATTTAGAAACTGAACATAAATCTTTCGTTTTGTGCTCCGGTTTTCTCAGCGAGCGTGGGCCGTATTCGCCTCGCATTTTCAACTCGTCCGCAACAAGTGTTCCTAATCGATATCACGCCCTATGAAACCCTTCTCCAACGACGCAACGCGCATAATTTCCCAGAGTTTTTCGTTCCTGTCGCCGAGTGTTGCACTCTCTCGGCTTTGGTACTCGTCTCAGTGGTGCGCCCTCATATTTCTTTACGAAACTCTTGGGATTGTAAAAAGAAGTTAAACAATTCACAACAATACAACAAGGTAGCGTTTCGTCGTCGACCATGTTTGTCACACATCACCTTCCGTTGCTTTTCTCTTCCTCTCTTTCCAATAATTAAAATTTCTGCCTTACGATTCCTGTATTTTGTTTACCAGCAATCTTTTTTTACCCTTCAATTCGCGCGACGAAGTAATTTATCTTCTTGCTGGATATTCCTCTTTATTATCGCCGACGGTGTCCTCTCCGTCTCCATTTCTCTCTGTTCCTCTCGCTTCTCTCTTCTCCCTTGCTCTATCGCATCGCGTCTCCGCTACCCGGCGGCACGGTGCAATCGATTTCAAAATCCGACGACGCACGCCCTGCGCGTCGTCGACGCCGTCGTCGCCTGTTGTACCTGCTCCTCCTCCTCTAACTCCACCATTCCCACCACCTCGTTCTATCGGCCCTCTTGCTTTTCAGTCAGTGCCATCGCTGCGGCGAAACCGGCGACCCGTCCACGGGGACATGGTCCAAGAGTTCGTTATCAGAACCACCGAGTGGTGATTCGCCAGATATCTCTCTCTCTCTCTCTCTCTCTCTCGCGAGACAAAACTGTAACGGTGGTGTTTCTTGGTGTTGGCGGCGTGCACAATGTGCTGCAGGGTGTGAAGAGACTGCGCTGCGTCACGCCCAGGTAAGGATCATCACGTTTATGTTTCGTTTACATTTCCTTTTTTAACGTCAATTTTGCAAATTTACAAATTAAACTTGTGCTACGCGTTTGATGATCTTCTTGGAAATTATTTTTGATTCGTATTTGTATTTCAAATTTTTTCTACGACCAATTTTCCTTAAGACAAATTAAGTGGCTAAAGGGGTTGTATCGAAATACGAAAGGTCTTGCTCTTTCCTTACCGGCACTACAATCGCACGCTACGTTATTTGCAACGCGCGTCTAACGCGACCGAGTGCACTTTTTATCGCGTGTTTACATCGAGCATGAGCCGCATTAAAAGAATTGATGGATATTTAATACGGATAATACGAATTGTCGTTTGAGCTTTGCTCAAGGAAGTCCGTGCTCCGCTTTCGTAATATCTGAGAATAATCTGAGCGAGGGAATTAAAGCTGGTGGGTGGCGCAGCGCGGTGCGCAGATTTCCGCGAGAAGATCTTTGTCTGTCCTTGATGGAGGGTGAATGTGACTACAACCTGATGCTTCGACTATATATATATATATATAGATATATCGAGAAGTACAAGTGTAAAGGATCGCGAGAAGGGGGGGGGGTAGTCAATGGAGAACCGAAGGATAGAAATTGAAAAACTAGAAGAGCAGAAAGATCAGCGACGTGGAAACGTGATTGAAATATCCTCCTCTTATCGTTTTATATTCCCGTCTTTAACATAACGCGATATCTTTGTACCTTTACACGATGTGACGTATTGAAGAAAATCTGTCTTGATGAAAAATGATACAGAATGTCAAGCAGTCGGCGCTTGCCTTTTCTTTTTCTAGTAAATAGGGACTTGAATTCGCGGCAGTTCCGTTGTAGTGATTTTGCCGAAAATGATGTTACACGTGTGTGCATTAATCTCTGCTAGATCCGCATTAGCTTCTTTTAGATTCGATTCAATGCGGGCACTGCACTCCAGGGCGATGCACCCGGGGAAGTACTTACACCAGCTATAAGCTGGAGGAAACCGCAAGTTCGATTGTACGTCCGTAACTGAGACCTTACGCTTGAGACGCACCACGTCTGTCGTGCGAATAAAAATACGTTTGTATCTTCTTTGGATCGAAAAATATTATCCCGCAGTGTGACATTTCAAATCATGGGGAACTGTAACGCGGCAAAAGAGGGAAAGCTAGCGGAGCACAGATAACTGTGATGCCTGCGCGTTATTTATTCGCTGAGATCTCGCTCGCGACACAATTGTCAAGACAGATTTGCCGGAAGGGAGAGAAACGCGGGGTGGATAAAATTATCGTTCTAACCGAGGCGAATGGTGGCGAGAGTGACGTAAAGTGCATTCACAATTGCAGGAACATCTATGGGCCGTAAACGGTGGTGGCGAGGTGGCTTGGTGGAGCTGCTGGTGGTGCTTCGTATCCTTCATCACGCCGTCGTTCTGGCTGACGGCGATGTTGGTGAGTATGATTGAATATTATTATCCTGCGGATGCGAAATAGTAGCGTTCGCATCCGAGAGCACACGCGAATATTCCGTGATCAGTCAGGAATGCCGGCGATCACTCTTTTACGCGGATATACTCGAAGAATTGTACAGAAATGTACATCTCTCCAATAAAGTTGAAAGGTCGAGAGAGAATGAAGAGGGTCTGCTTTCCCTCAGAAAATACAAACCGCGGTTTTTAATTTCAAATGGACGCCCGTTTTAATTCCGGCTGGTTCGAGCTGCCGGTTGTGCACTTTCTTTGGACTTGAAGATCGCCCAGCACTTTTCTTTGAAAATAACACGAGTCTCCGCAGAGATTCCGGATGATTGAGATTTTGCGAGGGATAGGAAATATATAACGTTTTACGGTGAAGCGTTCGCTCGCGATATGTTTCGCTGCGAATCAAACAGAAATCCTTTATGTGCGTGAGCAATAAATGCGGAGATATGAAACAGAGGATGAGAGATGTATTTCGTAGATAGCGACGCGCTGATAGAAATGACGTGAACCTATGCCGCGGCAAAACTCATTTGGTGAAATAGTTTCGCCGTTATGATTGTTTTGAAACAAACATATGACATCAAACGAGTAAGTCGCAAGATTTTGTAAACCCTTTATTTGTTTCCTGAAATATCAGCTAATCTTTTTAACTTTAAAAGTTCTGTGCATTGCTAAATCTTTCTCTAAATTTCTGAAAGAAAATAAAAAATTTATTTCTCTTTTTGTTTCTTATGTTATTTTATTTATTACGTTAATTTATTATTTCTTTCTTTTAGAGTAATAACATTCTTTTCAAGTGTAGGAAAACGATTAATCTTATCCTGGTTCAATCGACATTTTCCTCACGAATACGAATGCTTACATCGGAGTGTTAGCATCGATCGCGCGATAATGGTTGACGCCCCATTAAGTTGCCGTGTGATATTTTATTTCTGTTAATGCCACGTTGTTCTGTCGCACTTGCGAAAGTATACTTATTGATTAACAAGACTTTGCAAGAAGTGGCAGCGAAAATGAGCGAATGCTATGCTACGCTCTGCTCCAATTAAACGCGAGGCACGTCGTTTGCGTTCGCCTTTAAGAACACGATGACATATCGATGACGATAATCATGAACTCAGCGTGCAAGAGTTGCACAACACCGCGTAATACAAGGGAAATTTAATTAATTAGCGGTAAATTAAAATATTGCCTGCGGTCAGAATTTAAGAGGGCTCGGCCGTCATTCAAAAGTTTTACCCAATCAATTTTAGCTGGCGTATACATGCGTGTCACCAGTTAATAGTAGTTGCAGCTATTATATTGAAAAGAGGCGTTTGCGCTGATCGATGTTAGATTTCAAAGTTTCGCCGACATTTCCAACTTGCGATATCCCTCGCCGGCTGACGTCAGCAAGAAGCTTTCCGTGATTCTACTTTTCTCGGTGTACTTTCACATGAGAGAAACCGGGATTACGGTCGTCGATCCTTATCGATTTCACGTTGTTACTTCTGTAGCTGATCGCAATGTAAAGCTCGCTTCCCCCCCTCTGCCACCCCCAAACTCGGGGGAAGTTACGTATGAATATAGTAATCGTGAAACAATTATATGATAGTCATTCTTTCAATTACAGATAGCAAGGCAACAGTGAGAAGTAGTGTTTTATTTCAATGCCAAAGTAAATTGATTGATCTTGGAGTTGTAAACAATTGGCATGCGAAGAAAATTTGGGAAAGTCAACTTCTTATTAGTTAAGATATTAAGATAGTTAACTGAAAAAAAAAGAAAACTACTGTACGATCCAACCCTCGCGTAATGATGTGATAACAAATTATGAAGGTAACGAAAGAATTTTTATTTTATTTGAAACGTTTCAATTTTTATGCAAATTCTCTTGTAGACTGTCAAGTGACAGTAATTTCGATAAAGAAATCGAAAAACTAACTCAAATAAATCGCGGGAGAAAAAGGAAGGAAAAGGGGAAACATTTAAGTTTATTTGATGAAATGAAAAGAAAAAATTTCTGTGTAAAGCGGAGAACTTTTTTCCCTGTATTTTTTACGCCGCTGATCTTTTTTCAAGTTTTCAAGTGCGAAATCTGTAAATACAGGCGATGCAAATTCTCTTGCATGCGACATGAAAGATTAGATGAGAGCTTCTAGAGTGCAATTCTTCATGTCACCTTCATTGTTGACGATCTTGAAATTCGTCGATGCTCCTCCAAAGAATGAGGGAGAGGCTTCTCCTTGCACGTACACGCGCACACACACACACAGAAGGGTAGGTGTGTTCGATTTTCGCCCACGACAGCAACTCGACAGTTATCGAGCCGTTCATCCCACGCAGCCACCGCCTTCGCAAGCTACGAGACCTCTATCGCGCGCGAGTAACGCCGTCTCTTTCTCCCTCGCGGCGCGATATATCGCCACGACCCTTCGTTTATCTATCCCGCACCCAAGCATCTCCCTCGCGACCCTTCGGGCGCTGCTGGTTGAGCCATACGCATCCACGTGTGCTTGGGTACTCGCTGCTGTTGCAGTTTATTAATTTACGTTCGCGTGTGCAAGAAGCATCATGTTTATGTATGCATTCGATTCACTTCCTCCTCGACTGAACCGATTTTAACTACCCACGTATTGGATTCAAAATTATTATTTTTGTGTGGGCGATTCATTGAAAATAAGCTAAATGTTACGGACGGAGAATAATGCGAAATGATGATTCTAATGACCGGAGGCCACATGTCACATTCATACAAAGCATTGCATTATCAATTACCTTTGATTACAAACTACAGTTTCGTTTGGATGAGCAGGAACACTGGCTTTTCTCCGAAGCGCTGCTTAACTCTTGCCCTTTTTCGAATTTTGCCACATTTGCATCTTTTTCCATTCCACTTTTACTCGCGCATATTTTAATGTTTTATGTTGAAAAGCTTTTCCTGTTTATAAACACGCGGATGGAGAATTTTTTCCTCTTTTCAGTGCGGGTTTATTTGAGTGGGTGCTCTCTCAGGTATGCTATATTTATTTCAACAGCTATAATTCACAATTTGCCGGAGAGTCGCGTTGAGGGATGAAAGACGAGTGCGTTAACACGCGACTCGCCACATTCATTTATACTCCCCTCCGCATTCTGTGTTGCATTAATCATTTAATCACACGCGCAACATTCTTCCCTTTAACCTTTTATATATGCGCACCGAGCGCGCCGGACATCAAACCGAGTATCATCGATCCGATCGTATTACGACTTTACGACAATACAATCTGACATGAATCGCTGATGAGCGATGAATGACCACGAATGACAACATCTGCGAGATGAATAATTTGTTTTCAAGGACAACAAAACAAGGTCAACAAACAATTGCAGCAAATTGACTGTCTAAAAAGTCATAAAGATTCAATGATGAAGAAGTAAAAAATAACAAGAACCATTCTTAGTCCTTTCTTTTTTTTCTTTTTTTGTTTAATCGAGGGTTTTACTGAAATATTCGACGTAAAATGTATGTGATGACACAATTGCTGCATAATAACATGTGCTGTGAATCATTCATAATATTAAACCCACCCGAACTATTTCGGGCAATCTGATAAAATTTAGTTCGCTGTTAGATATTTCCAGCGCGTCGCTATATTTATTCGCAGAATATATACTTTGTGAGAGATGCGAGGTGTATGATGTAACGAAAAAGAGACTCGTCGACAGTTTCATAAGCGAATGTCCTTAAATGACGAGGGTGAATCGTATTACGCACTTGTGCCAAAATGTAGGCGCGATCCAGCAGTAATGCACGCTGAACCCGCATATGACGCAAATGCTAATTAATTATTAGTTTTGAGCTACGTTTGGCCTTTCTCATGCGTCGCATGTACAATTTCTCTTGGTGCTGAGTGTAATCGTTCTATTTCCAGGATGCCTATTCAGCGATAACGTATGCGATCCACAGACGGAGAACTGCTTCAACGGTAACAATTTTATTCAGTTTAATTAACGAATTAATAATAAAGCGAGAAATCACTTTTAAGTCTGGCCTTGTCGCAGCGCGGAGGAAAATAAAATATTTAAAATAAACTTTGAATTCAGTTGACAAGTTAATTAAGAGCACGGTTAGTTTAATATTGAAATTGCGAGTGACATTAAATTTGAAATTTGGTAGGAATTTTTTACTATATATCTACAGACATTCACTTTGTATGTTAATGTTGTTGTTTTTTTCAGATCTGGCGTTCGGAAAATGTATATCACGGTACAGGGATTTAGAGAATGACGATTTGTACCAGTAAGTTCCGTTACGCTCCTAAAATCAAGATTTATTTACGGCTCTCATCAATTATTTGCGGTGCAGCGTCTCGTTGAAATGTCAAACCAATGTACGCGAGCGCGATATATGAAGAATCGGATTCTCATTCGATTAATTTTATCGCCAAATCGTCAAATCGGTCTCGTCATCTCGTCTTTATTTCGTCCTTATTACCGCACATCCGCGTAATGCACGATTAGCGCGATCGACGCAAGTGCCGATATAATTGGTAGCATCATTGGCGCTTTAATACAAGCCTATTCTCTCTCTATCGCGCAGATATAATCTCGATGTCGGCGAATTGGAGTTGCTGAGACTGCAATTGGAGAAACTGGAGTCCGACGGATACAAATGGAAGCATCCATTTACACAATGTATAATGCAAACCTCGTTACGTAATCTCCGATATGGGTATGTCTTCTCCGATATGAGCTAGTAATTATAATAAACAATTGCGCCGACAAATTGAGATTTGTTGATGCAGGAATTTGTATGCAAAGCGGCGCGGCTTTTCAACATTTTGATATGCAAATTTTTAGAAATGTAATTTAACTTTCCGTAGGATTTTTTTTACTTTCAAGTTTTTTTACAATTATGAAAAAATACGCGACAAACATTAATTGATAAGACAAAACCCGACACTTTTCAGGCAAAACGATATCTATGATCTTCGTCTCTGCGAATATTTGAAGGAATCGCATCTCGACGAGCAGAACGATCCCATTAACGAGGTACATATAATTTGACACGAACATTTCCGTATATCGATATCATAGACGTGCTCGTGTTCGCAATCACGAAAGATAGTCGCTCTTGGCAACGTTATATAGACTTACCGCGATTATCTCTTGAAAAAATAACTCTCCGTAACAATACCGTCACAGTAAAAGCTATTTTTTTTTCAGGTGATTCCAGTCGCTATACTAAAAATATCCAACAATGAAAATCCGGAGAGTAATTTGGCCGACGCTCTATATCGCGCCGCGGACGTCGAGAATAAGTATGTACATCTCGTTCTGTTCAAAGAGAGGCCGATAAGAAATAATAGAAACATATTCAAAAGACGTATTGATTTCAACACAATTCGATTTTTATTTTGTTTTGTAATATTATCGAATTTTTTTTAAGCATGTTACCGACTTTCTACGACGAACAACGACTGCTGCCGTTCAATCAGGAATCCATCGAACCTGTTTATAGACTTGAATCCACAAATTGGCGTGGCGACAAAAGCGACCGAGTTTCGATCAACGACGAGAGATACGAGGACGAGTACAGAAAATCGCTGAACGATGTGGGCGAGCAAATATATCCGCCGAGAACGCGCCGGTATAGTTTTGTCGATAGATACGGAAACGGCGACGTCGAGGACACTTTGGCGGACGCAAGATTGCCCGAGGACAACGACGAAAATCTTTACGACGCGCAGCTTTTGTCCGCCGACGCGCTTCAATTCCTGCCGGATGAGAAATCGACAGATTACACACTATTGAAGCCTTTTCCCGACGACGAGAAAGATGAGCGGGAATACGAGAGGGAGTTTTCCAGGAAGTACAAGCACCGAAAGAAACAACCGCGTTTGGAGTTTCTCAACGGCGACGCGTCGACGAGGGTGGACGGCGCAAACGGGATGATGATCAAGCATAACGACGAGGATCTCGATTATGAGGACGGCGGAACCGATGAAGCAGCTTTGGAGGAGATCGAGGGATCCGAAACGGATGGTTCGGATGCCTCGAAGACGAGCAGCATGTACACCGAGGGAGGAATCGAGCAATCTTTGGAGCACAAAGCTGCACCCGATGCGGTTGGTAAGTTTGTCGTTTGAGCAGATTAATCCTTTCGTAACTAATAAGATGTTGCTTGCTAGCACATGCTATTTTTCCAACCTAAAAAAATAAAGAGAAACAATCAAAATCATTCACTTAGCATATATTTTAGTTTGAAGATAATCTACAAGCGAAAAATACGAGGCAATTTGGTCGCAAAAGTATTAAGCGCGCTTCAAAAATATTAAGCTGAAATAAATCTGACGCAGGAACTTCGTATGACGAGATGTTCGACGACGATGACTTGGACGCGCTTTTATGGCAGCGAGAACTAGCGGGGTTTAAACGTAGAGAACGTCTGGACGTCAAGAAACCTGGGCCGCCATTCTCGACGAATAATTACGCGTTTAAAACTCAATCTCCGTCCGGTGAGCGAAGCACACTTTTCTACATGTAAATTCATGTTTAATTTCCGCTCCGCAATCGACTTTCCCATTACATCGCAAAGTGAAGTTTTTCATTAATGCTCTAAAGATCAAATTGATAGTTATTTAATCTGAAAATTCGAGCTTGTCGAGATTTATGATGGCTATATTTTTTTAGCTCCCGTCGACAAAGATTATGCCGGGGCAGACGACGAGGACGTAAGTATAATTAAGTGTACTTTAGATATTACAGACTGTAGGAATTACATGGACATCGTGTTACAGAATAATGAAGTATACGCGCCGTTCACAAAGAAGGAGCTACGCAGTAACTCGCACAAAGCCAGCCACGAACCACCGACAACTTACAAGAACGTTGACCTGGATTACGTCTACATTGAGTTTGAACAGGAATTTCACAAGTGGGAACAAGGAGCGCATGTAGTTACCAAGGTGAAATAGTGTTCGAATGGTAGTTCAGAGTTGGAGAAGTTGTTAATTACAAATAGTACAGTCAAACTTATGTTTAGCTCCATTGAATTTCCAGATCGAGGAATTCTTAGGATTGCAACCGGGTACTTTGAGAGACATACGAGTGGGCCGCGCGGAGGTTACTTTCAAAGTCAGTCAGAACGACAAGAACTTAAATGCTACTGACGTCGTCAGCAGCATCGGTAATTTGCAGTACTTATTTCACTTCAGTATACGAATCAAATTCCGTGTAAAATGCGAGATAAAAGCGAACTCGATTGTTCGCGACAAGTAAGGTTTGTTATTTTTCTTAGATGACATACGTGGCAAATTACGCAATTCGCTGGGATTCCAAGTCCTTCGAGCCGGTATAGGCAACAAGGTACAGTGGATATCTTTTTTTTGAAGCACAAGATTTCGCAATATCTTTGAATTTTGCGCGCCCGTAAGCGTAATATTACTTCGGCATTACTTTTGGTAGGCTAAATTACCAGCCAGCCTGGAAGTAGGCGAGGGCGGAGTGAGTTCTACTTTGTTCGGAGCGCTGGTGGCCGCCGGAGTCGCGGCTGCGACCGCGGCCGCGGTGGTTACGCTGATAATCGCGCGTCGCCACGCTAAATGTCGCGCGAAGCTCGCCGGGCTGACCACCCCAGACCCGGAGGCGTCCAAGGACTATCAGGATCTGTGCAGGGCAAGGATGCAAGCAAAGCAGCCGAACGAGAAGGTGGAATCGCCGCGCATCACGAGTCTATCACGCGAGAGCGAGTTCGGTAATCTGCCCTCCAATCGTTCCAGCACATCTTCTTGGGGCGAGGAGCCCACTCTTTCCAACATGGACATATCCACCGGTCACATGGTACTTGTAAGTATAACAGCATAAAGAACGAGAAAGAGAATAAACCGAAATCTTTCCTTAAATATATATTTTGAGTAAGATATAGAAAAAAATCAAATATATGTTCGAAGGTACTTAAATATTTAGAAATATTCTCGAAATGACTTTGGCGTTTTAGTTTGATGAATCATTTGATCATTATTATATATTTATGTCTGTCCTTTTATCCACCAAATCATTCGGCAGAGTTACATGGAAGATCACCTGAAGAATAAGGATCGTCTTGATCAAGAATGGGCGGCGTTGTGCGCTTATGAGGCCGATCCATCGTCGACGGAGATCGCGGAGAGCGAGGCGGACGCTAAACAGAATCGTCCCGGCGCGGCACTTCCCTACGATCACTCCCGGGTAGTCCTGAACGATCTTACGAACGCCAATAATTCTGATTACATCAACGCTTCCACGATCGTAAGTGCGATCTTATCTCTCACGATATCATCTCACGTTCGAACATTTCTTTATCCTTCTGTATCCTCCTGAAGCCTAACCGTTCCTTTCTTTTTGTAAATTGAATATATTTAATATTTAATAGAAAGTGCAGAAAGTTATGAATAATATTCTCGTTTTTTATTAATGAATCTTGAAGATATAGCGATACAATGATAATTTTTTGTAAACCAAGCTCGGGAGGATATCGCATTTCAATGCGCAGAACTCAATGTGCTTAATATATAAAGTGAAAATTCTGAATCTTTTATTCCAATATGCGAAAGTGTCATGAGGTAACTTGTGTAACAATAAAATAAATATTTTCGTTTTCACGATAACGTTGCTGAAATACGTACGACATGCGGTTTTCCGGCTGCCGCATCGCAATATATGTAGAAGTCGGTAAGTCACAGACAGACGACGGGCATGCCAAGTTAATCGTTTTGAAGATCGCAGAGTCGTTTTTTTTCGGCGTAATTTTTGTGAGGCTGACGCTTACGATAGATATTTCTTTAGTGCATCGTTAATCGTCACGCAGTGAACAAAACTCTAGCATGTTTATCGATGAGCAAGCCTTGTATTTTTTAACTGCACAGTTGTCAATGTATGACCGCATTGTTATTCACACACGTACATGTGGTGAACAGGAAGCCTAGATAGAGAAAGCATTTGAACGATAACAACAAGAATTTCAAAGAAATTTTATTAGTTGCATTGTACAGCTTTTTTCTGTGAAATTATACAGATTGCAAGAGCCTGTCCTAAATTTGAAGAAAATAAGATCACGGCTTCTCAGGCACTGAATATGAAACGAATCGATTAGGTTGATCAAAACTTTCGTTTTATTGGAATAAGAGGGCGAGAGAAAAAAAATAAAGAAAAAAAGAAACGAATCTTTCGATCAACCTATCGTTCACAAGCCGAGTGCTTATCAAATTCTCTCGCCAAAAACTGTTTCGCCAAATGCCGTTTATTTTTTGCAGACGGATCACGACCCCCGGAACCCGGCTTACATAACCACACAGGGACCGCTGCCGCAGTCCACGGCTGATTTCTGGCAATTGGTTTGGGAACAAGGCAGCGTGGTGATTGTGATGTTGACACGGCTCACCGAGGAGGGCCGCGCCA